ATAAAAGTTTGCGACAGAGAGTGATAAGCACACTACGATTGAGCTGAAGTCTTATGAACGTCTTACGGCTTCCATCAAACATCATACAGTGCTGGAGCAACAGCAAAGATTGCATGCAAGCTAGTAGGTCTGAATCGAAAATTTCATCGGACTGGTCGCCGTTGTGGTGTTGTCAGCAAGGTATCGCGGCGAGCAAGAGAAGGTACACCCACAGCTTTACCGAATATCCTTGGGCTGAGTTGGCGAAACAACGCCAGGTGTTTGTGCTTTTGAATCGCCTCGGAATTTTGGCAACCTATAAATGCCACAGAGAAGACAACATGCCACCTTTCAGGTGATACCTCGAAAGTTGGTACGTGAAGAACCGGCCAACGTCGGTGAAAGTGTTCGAAGTAGAGTTGTACGTATACGTCAAGATACTGTAGAGATGGAAATGTCTCTACTGTGTGGTTGAAGTCTGATGTAGGCATATCAGCGGTCAGCATCTTCAACATGTGATTACGGGTTTCTCCGTCAACGCGCGGAACATGAGGCACAAATTCAGCAATGAGAGTGTCTTCATCATCCGCCAGGAATTGATCTTGCCTGTTGCTGTTGTTCGATGACAGGTACCCAGGTTCTAATGAAGATGCTAAACTGTCGCTGCTGATGCTTCTTTGCTCAGGCAATAAGAACATCGCGTTTGAGAGATCGTCGCTACCAAAGTAGAATTCCGGTATACCGCCGAATCCATATGCAAACGGTGCATTGACGGTCGCAAGTGACCCTGACAAGAACATTGAAGTTTCTGTTAAAGGCTCTAGTTGAGAACTGAGCAGCGGTCCGTCTGTGTCTGGATATGATGAAACCTGGATACTCGCGATCGAAGTTTGCCTGGGTTCGTCCGCCGCAGATTCAGTGGAGAGGTCGTCCGGCACCATGGTATTGATCTCTTCCTCTTGGGATGATTGCAGAACGGGCGAGGGATCGCATCCTAGCCTGTCGTGGAGAACTCCATGCATACTAGTTGTCTCATCGAGAACCACATCACTCACAGACTCTGACGTTGAAGTGCGGTAAAGGCATCGACGTTTCCTGCTTGCGCAATTGCTGCACACTGTTGTTCCGTTGCCATCACAGCGTTGCTTTCCTTTTGCACACGCTTTGCAGGCGCGTCGGTGTCGATTTGAACTTCTGTGTACCCAGTCTGCCAGCGCGGCAGGACCGTGTATGCTCACATGGCGTTTAAGCGTGTCGCTTTAGGCGAGAGGGATTAGTGGCTCGTCATCGATGGAATACAATGGTACGAGCTCACTTTCGCGGGAATGTTTTCATACAGATGCCGCACTGATGAGGGCGGCTGCCAGTGTGACGGTCTAGGTGACGGCTAAGATGCTCGCGACGTCGAAAAGACAGGTCACAGTGGGGGCATTCATAGTCAGCGGGATTGCCCTTCCCAAAACCAGCATCATCAGCACCGGTCGACATACAGAACGAACAACAAAAGGTGGAAAAGCCACAAGACTTCTTGCGCGACACTGTCGGACTTTGTGGCGGGGGCGGGGAAGAGGACATGAATCGGATCTGGTGTGTGGGGTAAGCCTCGGTCTCCCCTGGTAGAGTTTCTTGGTTCCGGATGAGCCGGTGGTCGCCGTTCGCTCGTTAGCCCACGCAATACCTAGGAGTTCAGATTTAGTGCCGAAACTCCACATTACGGGAAGACACAGCTTGATCGTCGGGATCTATGCAACTGCGGGATCTGCCATCCTCATATCCGGTGAGTTCCAGATGCAGAAGCCACTATGCAACGCACGAATCAATCAGTAGGAACTACCTCCCACTGCCACGTGGTCTATGAATTTGAAATGGCTTCGGTCTGATCGACGTGGAAACACACAGTACTACAGTATAAGCTGTCGTCGCCGTGTGGCGCTTTCTCAGGCCTGCATGTGCACGCGTCGGCAGTTGCAGCGGTAGGCATCATCTAGAGTCTCCTTCCGACTTGCACAACATGATGAAAGCACACAGGGCCAAAGTCTGCTTCTTTCTAATATCATGCTGCACACCTTCGTGGACAACAAAGGCGCTTCAGTCATAGCACAATGGTATGTGAGAGATAACATCAACAGACATCACACGGACTCGCGTTCGCCAGTCACGATTGACAATTTCCAATGCCATAGCGGGGATTTTTCGTCCGGCCATCCGTCTGCCATGGCTGTACTATCCGATCGTTAGCTGCACGTCTCGTGGCGTTCGAGTGCTGTTGGTTGGTAAGATCAAGCACGATCGAACTTTGCGGGGTATAGCTGTTGTGGGGGATATCTGGGGTAAGGTAAATATGCAATATCTATATCTGGTGCCCCTTGCATGCGATGATTTGGCAATGATCTCAGTGCGTCTGTGCCTGAGCTGACACTTCAACTGATCAACATGTCGGATATGCGGAATACTCTCGAGAAGCCAAGCACGGAAGTTGAGCGTCATGAACAAGTCGACATAGTCCCTAAGAACTCAGCCGTCTATGCAAAGGGAGAGGAACAGACGATACACTTGAAGACGGCGATTGCTCTGATAGCAATGGGTGTCTTACAATTCACTACACTGTTAGCATTGGTTGGCCCACCTACAGTGGTAAGCTGAGTTCTATCTCATGGTCGTTATGTCCTTCGATAGACTAACCACTGGACTATAGCTCGACAATATTGCTTCAGCGTTTCCTAATCCGGAGTGGAGGTACTGGATAATCAATGCTTCCACGCTGGTTCAAGCTGCACTCGGTCCTTTCTTCTCCTCGGTTTCAGATGCGTTCCAAATCCGGAAAGGCATAATATTGGGCTTGGTCATATTGGCTATCATCGGTTCGGCTATCATACCAAATTCTGAGTCCGTCTACCGAGTTGTCGGTGGGTCAATCATGATTGGTTTCGGACTCACGTCAGCTCCCTTGAGCTACGCTGTTCCTAGTGAGATCGTGCCGCGAAGATGGAGGTCAGGTCAGTCCCCTCTTGGCAACAACTGAAGCTGTACTGTGCTTATAGATTGAGACAGTCTGTCAGGGTTTCATCAACATGTGTGGCACTTTGGGGGCTATCACAGGGCCTCTCGTTAGTAAGTTGGCTTGCTAGGACCATTTCCTACATGGAGGTCTGACAAGCTCTAGTCGGTGCATTTACAAACAACAATCCAACTCAAGGTTGGCGTAACTTCTACGTGAGTTTACACTACTACCGGCATGAGCTATTGGGACCTCGTTGACCGATGATAGTGGCTTCAAACAGGGCTTTGGGCTTTCAGCGCCGTTGGCATCTTGATTGGCTATTCACCGCCGAAGAGGACCATGGACGGATCCACATTCCACTCGAACCTTAGACATATAGATTGGATCGGCTCAGTGATTCTTACTGCAGCTATTACATTATTCTGCGCTGGATTTAACTTTCAGTCCACGTATGGGTGGAGCAGCGGACAATTTCTTGGCCCTCTTATCTCTGGATTCGTGGCTTTTGTTGCTTTTGGTCTCTACGAGACATACGGTACAAAGACAGGCATCATACCACACGAGCTCTTCAATGGCAACCGCAAGTATGGCTGGGCCGTTTTGAACTTCGCAATCTTGTTCTTCATCGAAGGACTCACCTTCTTCGCCATTATAACGTTCTACCCAGCGTTGTAAGTATAGATCTGCTTTCACATTTTAGCACTACTAATGTGAGTTCACATAGGACGAGCGCGCTGTTCACTTCAAACCCGATACAAATAGCCGTCCGCCAACTTCCGTTCTACTGCTTGATCGGTGGGGTCACGTTGATCTATGGCTGGGCAAGCAGCTACTTCAGGGACATCAAGTACAATTTATTCGTGGCATACATCATCTATACTGGCGGCATTGTCGGGCTCGCCACCGTACAGCCTGGACAATCTGCAGTGGCACTTGGCACTATCGCTCTTGCAGGCGTCGGTCTAGCTGGACCCTTGATATTGATCATTACTGGTGTGCAACTTGCGGTGCCGCACCATCTTATCGCAACAGCAACAGCGTTGGTGGTTTCCTGCCGCACCTTGGCTGCATCCATTTTTGTTGCCGCGTATTCGACAGCACTCTCGTCCCGCCTCGGCACATACATTCCCTCGTATATCGCGAGAGCGGTCACTCAGGCAGGACTACCCGCTTCTTCCATAGGGCCCTTTATTGGAGCGTTCTCGAGCCACGATGAAGCCGCACTGGCGCGAATTCCCGGGGTCACACCGGCAGTTCTCGGAGCGGCTGGTGGAGCAATGCAACAGGCCTTTGCCGATGGCGTTCGCGTTGTTTTCATAATTGCCGCTCCGTTTGGGGCTGTTGCTTGTATCCTCTGCTTGTTCCTCCCCAGTTTCAAGGAGGTCATGGATCGAAAGATCGACGCACCACTGGAACATACGAAAAAGCACCATGAAGAGAAGGAGATTACTTGATGGCATCCCTCAGTCTAGACGACGTAGTAGCGCGTTGGAAGCTGCGAAACTGGCGTTTGCGACGGGTTGGAAGATCAAGATCGACACTGTATTTCTAAAGCAAAGCATTATGTCAGACGTCAAGATGGCTGTGCTAGGAAGACGTTATCGGCCCGATAGCGCATTGCGTCAGTGAAGCTACACAAAGTTATTGTGTGGGGTATTGTTGATAGCCCTAAGTAATTGGTGTACGGAAACGATAGTGTCGGTCTTTCGCTCTTATTGCACGTTTCCGACCGAGTTTCTTGCAGTCAAGCGTTGCGCATGTTGTATGCGTTGGAGATGTATGTCGGTCTTTCGCTCTTACCTACACCACCTCGGCCGAGCCTAACGTGCTCACGTTTCGGCCATCATTCGTTGCATACGACACGTAAAACAACGATGGAAGGATACAAACCACTGTATAGGTTTCCTATATATAGAGTGCATGGAGTCTCTCTTCCTACCTACAAGAAGGCTTTTCAACCACTTCCCAAACGACAATATATCATCATTCAACGACAGGAAGTTTAGCAATATAAAAAGTTATGGCGGCACCTGGAGGTCGTTATTTCATCCAGGAGAAGTTGAAAGATTCAGCTGTACATCATGAGAGTTACAAGCAGTTGTGGGAAACGAAGTGGAAACAGCTTGTAAGTCACACATGATCCCTGCTTCACACCATCATGCACTTCAGATATCAGCAAAGTCGTCATTCCAGCACTCATTCCAACCCCAGGCAGAATCTGGGATGTATCCATTCATGTTCAGCACAGCCAAGGACTTTGAGCCGATAGTTGAGGATCTGGTGAAGCGTGACTTCAAACCACCTTATGACTGGGATGAATACGCAAGAGCACATTTTCCACAAGCTGAAAAACTACTTAATGTGGCCAGAAAAGCGGATGCCAAAGGCGAGATTGAAAAGGCAAGCGAATATTATCTCAGAGCCAGTGCGATACACCGTGTTGCGCGCTTCCCTACACTGCGTTCTGACGCGCAAAGAGAGGCGTGGCGCCTACAGAAGGAATGCTGTCTCAAGGGCCTCAGTCTTCGACCGCACCCTATCCTGGAAATCAATGTTCCACACACACACGGCTTACCTATCGAGGGTGACAAGATTCCAATATATTATCTGGTTCCTACTGGAGCTAGCAAGCAAAACCGTGTTCCCTGCCTAATTTTTATAACAGGCCTGGATGCGTATCGAACCGAAGCTGCAATATTCATGGATGCATTCCGCAAATTAGGCATCGCTACCATAGCCATCGAAGTTCCGGGAACTGGAGACTGTCCTGCTTCACGTACGGACCCGAAATCTCCAGATCGTCTGTATTCAAGCCTTTTTGATTGGATCGCCCAGCAGGACAGCCTTGATATAGACAGGGTCGGAGTATGGTCATACAGTACGGGCGGTTATTACGGAATCCGGATCGCGCACACACATCCTGGAGATCTGATTGGAGTTGTTTCTCAAGGAGGTGGATGTCATCACATGTTTGACCCAGAGTGGCTTAACAATGTGAACCATCTCGAGTACCCCATGGACTTAGCAGGTGCATTAGCTGACAAGTTTGGTTATGGAAACGACGTTGAAGCCTTCAAGTTGGAGGCCTCTGACAAGTTTTCGCTGCTCAAGGGTAAGTTATGACTGTACAAAACACATGCAAAACAAACGCTGACTTCGTATCCCCACATAATCAGACGGCACCCTCGACAAACATAAATGCGCACGTCTCCTCTTGGTCAACGGAACGGACGACGAAGTATTTCCTATCGATGACCTTTATCTTGCGCTGCAGCATGGCGCAGCAAAGGAAGCTCGTTTTGAGACCGGTGCTATGCATATGGGAGGAACGCTGAGCTACTATATGTCTATCAGGTGGCTATTTGATTTGTTCGAAAAAGACGCCGATCCGGCAGTCGTCTTGCAAGCTTTGTCATTCAAACCTAGATACTAAAGCTTACCAAGGAGCTCCATTTCTCTCGCGTTGCACTACACTTGCATCCCGTTTGAAGGTATATATAGTGCTCGAAAGATAGGTTTGACTTCACCCCTGAGTTCCTAATGAGTATACTGAATTCAAGGATGTTTGTGATAGTATTGATATGCTTTTCTTCTCCAGGACCTTTCTCTCAGTGAGACTATCTTGTTCCCAATGCACGTACGATGACTGCCAACTACAGTCGGGCCTCAAGTGCACGGACACGGTACGATAACAGCCTTAATTCCGCAAACGCCGCTTTGGGACGCAAGACGGGACAACATTGCTCCGCAATAACAGTACAATGTACCGCGTGAAGAGTGTCCATTATCGCGTGATGTTGTTCTTTGATGTGCGTATTCGGTCTGTATGGCCTACCAAGATATTTGGTATGCCAATTCCAAGTTGAAAATGAGGTAACAGCATGTTAAACGACCTTGTTATCTCTCTTTCGATACTTGTTCAATATATCATGGCCTTGTGCGACCAGACGATACTAGTTACTGGTGCGAACGGCTACGTAGCCAGTCACGTCGTGCGAGAACTACTGAAAAAAGGCTTTATAGTTTGAGGCACCGTATGATCCCAAAGAGCCGCATCGCAATCGCGGAATACGTTTCCTGACTACATCGATGCGACGTTGATGGCAGCCGAGTTGTGGAGGCAACCGGGATTGAATACCTTCCACTAACCCAGACGATTGTAGACACGTTCATGACGACAGTGTTGAACTGAAGTGGCTCTAAACCTGAAATGCTTCGTTTGTGAAGGATCAAGACTCTCGTGCTCGTTCGCGTTACAACTGTCCTTTCCAGGTCACCAAGTGACTTCCCCCAATAGTCGGAGGCGCGATATCACTCATTTCGTATTGACCCAATTCGTCCCAGAGATATGCTACGCTTCTAGGCTCCATTCGCATCCAGCCAAAGTAACGTTGTCCACCCACCCTCGGGTTCCACGAATTATAGTCCTCTGCACGGTAGTCGGCATCTACACATTTAACAATAGAAGCGGCAGGGTCTGACAGAACCTCGTCGTCGGCGAAAAGGAATATTCGGTGCAAGTTGAAGTCTGCGTTCATTGGTTGGCTACCCTCGCCACTGCTACTGTTGTACAACTGGCGAAGTTGATCTATGTCGAGGCCAGCTAGGGCAGGGTCTGAGCGTGCATCAAGACGGAAAAGCGACCACAATTCCTGGAATTTAGGGTCTTCTTCTTCTTCAATAGAGTCGGTTAAGCTTCTTGCTTCGTCGTGCGCACTAGTCTGGATGGTTTCGAGAAGTCGCTGCCATTGCTGGTCGGAGGAAGGTCCGTATCCGGTGCGGTAGATGGTAAAGCCCCAGTGTCTGTAGCCAACAAAATCATAGTCCGAAGAGATGGAAAGGTCACTCAACCATTGTTGGCCGAGGTTATTCATGGTGGTGGCGCGAAAGAAGTCGATCTGATGCCCAGTGCAATATAGAGGCCCGAACTTAACGAATGTAGTAAGGATGCGGTTGCTTTGATGTGAATAGCTCAAGCGTAGTCCGGCTCAGTGAACTTATACTTCGGTCAAGGACTGCAGACATGTGACGCAACCGAGAGGCACAGTCGCGTATTGTAATGGCTCTAAGGATCCACTAAGGGCTGGGCGGGTGTTGCCTGCGCACGGACAGCGCTGCCAAGTCTGATGAAGGCCTTGGAATCCTCGGCCCATGGCCTCCTTCGCCTGCTTCACTTTGTCCATTCTGAACAGTGCGCTATGGAAAGTCTTCTGGCGATAGATTTTCGCACGAATCACGCGCTACCCATGCCTTTACCCGGCGGTACCCTACGACAAGCGGATAAAATAAGCAACGGTTTGTCGTACTCTGACAGCTCATCACCTGACACGATCCAACTCAACCTAAACACCGAAAAGTCTCTGCATTCCAAAGAACCAAAGCTTGTCTGAGTTACTCGATATACACCCCTATCACTCCCAACCGGTCTTGATTGTCATATGAGCTAAGCTAGAACACCTCAAATGAGGCGATTTATACTTCTATCTAGACGTTCCAAGTGCAAGATACCCGTACCTGATAGTGCGACATGTACACTTCGTACTTCTGTAGCTATGTCTAGTACCTCGCACTCTGAACATTCTTGTGATCTTGGTAGGAATTTACATTATTCAGCTTCTGTACGTCCTAGACTACAGTTCATTGCTTGTGCCTTCATAGCCAGGTTTACTGTGAAATACACAAAACGTGTTTATACATCAGCTAATATATCATCCAAAGCCTTTTCCCCAATCATAAATGTCGGCAGACTAGGTAACTCTCCCGGCTGTACTGGGAAAATAGAACCATCAACAACACGAAGGCTATCGACTCCACGAACACGGAACTTGGAGTCTAGAACTGCTAGCGGGTCATCATCTGAGCCAATCGCACAGGTACCAGTGACGTGGTGTGAATAGACGTTTGTGCGGTGGAATCTAGCCTGAGCGTCGTCGGAGCAAAGAGTGCCAGCGGCACATGGTCGCAACTCGGTGAAAGTGTTGTTGGAAAGTTCTTGAAGCGCAGGGCGAACCGTGTTGATGGCTTCTACCATCGATGCGAGATCGTCGTCGTCTCCTTGCGAGAAGAAGCCTAGGTGGATATTTGGCATATCCCGAGGATTGGCGGACTTCAGAGTTACCGAACCATTAATGTTCCTTGGGTGAAGTTGCATGAAACCACATGTGAACTCGTTAGGGTTCCAGCCAGGCATACCAGGCCAGAATCCAATAAATTGCATCGCGCCGCAGTAGAAGTGTATATCTCTGGTCCTTAGCGCTTTCGAGGTTTTCGCGAAGATATCATAGAAGCCGTACACAGTGTTTGCGAAGGTCCCGTAGATAGTTGTCTCGTAGTTGTCGTGCATGTTTATCCCCACACCGGGAAGATTCTTAACAATAGGAATGTTGAACTTATTGAGCTCGTCTTTGGGCCCAATGCCACTCAATTTGAGAAGCTGCGGAGTGTTGTATACGCCACCAGAGACGATCACTTCCCTGGAGGCAAATGCTTTGCCAGCAACGCCTTGTATATTAGGGTCGTACCTTGGATCAGCAGAATACATGCTTTGGCCTTCGAGAAACTCAACTCCGATGGCTTTAGGTCTCGAGACCTTTGCTCCCTTCCCCTCAGCTTTGGAAAACAATATTCTAGTCGCCAGAGTGTTTAGCTGGATATATAGTGGGAAGCGTCTTGCGTCAGCCAGTGTTTGGCGGATGTAATTGTTCGGGCTGGACCGAACTCCATGGTCTGAATGGGTGAAAGGCCCGAAAACTCCGACAGTATCATCCCTGTTTGGGGAGTCCTCATTAATATCTCTGGTTACAAGATGCGTCAAATTCCAGACACCTTCACCCGCGACTGCGTTCTGGTGTCTAAGGGCCAGTTCTGCTGCAGGCGTTGTGTTGTAGGCCCAAGATACATCACCCAGCGATGTATCGATGTAGCCAGTAAACCCATGGGTAGGAGTGCTCCCATTGACGAGATAGTGACATCTTTCCAGCCTCACAAGATATTGGCGCATGTTCGCTGTACTCCACGAGTCGTCCCCGGTGATATCGACAATGTCTTGCCAGTCGACGTCGGCTGGAAGAGAAATTGACGCAGCATTGTGCATCGTGCAACCTCCAAGAGTTCCTGCTCTTGGGTAGTAGACTCCAAGGCGTTCGGCACCGGCTGGCGGATCCAGTCCAACATAATATTCCCCATTTGCCTGTCTCCAGGTGGTAAACTCAAATCCTTCGTCGAATTGGGGCTCGTCTCGACTAACGAAGAAGTCCCAACGAGTTAGAGGATCATTTATAGCAAGCGTGTTGTTCCAGACTGTTGCCGAATTGGAGTTATTCCATTGATCGTCTCCAGCTTCGATGAGCAGAACGGAATGGCCGGCCTTGGCGAGGTTCGCTGCGAGTGGTCCTCCACCTGGACCAGATCCAATGACGATGTATTCATAAGTGTTGTTTAGTTTGGATTCCGCGGCCTTTACCAAAATTCCGAAAAGGGGTAGGAGAAGGTGGTAATGCATGGTTCTGATCTGCTCTGTATATCAAGACTTTCCGAAACGATGATCATTCAGCCGTACCTCGAAACAATATAAGCAGGTAATAGTTCAAAGGATATCTTACTGTCGTTTTATACAACTCAGTCTATCGGTGAGAATGTGCCTTGAGGCATTCACTACCAAGAGTCCAACGGCGTTAAAAGTTGGCGAAACCCCGAAACGCGAAAATACGCATTTCACGTCCTGTTTGTTTGTCCGCTTTTAGTAGACTTGGTGCATCTCAACTTGGGAAGGGAGGGGGCCGTGTCCCATGTCACAGGGTTCTGCCAGCTAATTACGTGACGTATGGAGATGACTATACGTCGATTCTCATCTTGAATAGATACTTCAATACCACCTTTACTGTCAGCACTTTCTATGTAGTCTTCAGTCCGTGTCGATAAATCATTCTAGTTCACGGTTGCAAAGTACGCGCGAGCATTCAGAATCTGTGATCAAGCGACCGCAAGCAGAGGCTCACCGGACGAACATGTTGAAAAAAAGTGACGATCGTTTGCTGGTGAGAATGTTGTTACTATACACATATCGTAAGATGGGGGACAGTCTATCCTCTTGGACTAGTCGTTTTTGTTCTTAGGCACGACTAAAACCCCAAGACAACTGCGGCCGTACATCGGAAAAGTTAAAGCGGACATCATGGCTTAATTCCGGCGCTAACGATCATTCGAGCATTCTCGTGGCTGGGCACCCCAGAAACTACTTCGCATTTTGTTGATGTCTTATGTCCGTATCGGGCTTGGCGCAGACCGAACTGCGATCCGGCGAAACTATCACCCACGGGACGAGAGTCGGCCACTGTTTCGTCCACACCTGGTCACTACAACGAAAATACGGCCCAATAAGCAGATTATGGGCTACTGAACTATCAGCACCTCTGGAAGTCCAATTTTTGTACTCAAGTACAAATGTGGTAGGTAACCTCGTCACGATCTCAGTATCACACGTTGTCCAACAATTGACATCATGAAGCAGCAAATATTTCGACTCCTCCATCTATTCGCTGCATTTTCTCTTTCTCACAGCGAGTCTGTACTCTTCGAAAACGGCACCATTATATCTTTCAATGAAACGAGCGGTTCCGTAGAAATACTGCGCGACCACTCTCTCCTAGTTGTCAACGATACCATTAGCGCAATCTTCCCTACGAACTCAACAAGCTCAATCCCAGCGGAAACTACTCGAATCTCGGTCGAAGGAGACATATTGTCCCCTGGCCATGTCGACACCCATCGCCACGTTTGGCAAACCGCTCACCGCTCTATCGGTGGCACTGGTACACTAGCAGAATATCTCACAAGATGGACGAACACAACAATGGCTGCAAGAATCTACGACGCGGAAACATCTTATTTTTCAGAGCTGGTCGGACTCTGCGAAGCTGTTGATGCAGGCGTTACAACTATCGTGGATCACGCATCCGGATCTTTCACGAGCGACATTGTTGATGCATACATCCAGGCTACCAAGGACAGTGGTATCAGGAGCATCTTCGCATACAACTTGGGAGGCTACGATACCGTATCATTCGACGAACAGGTTGAGCATTTTAAAACATTGATGACTGATGGTACTCTGACTGGGAGTACTGTCAGTCTTGGTATCTCGTATGAAAGATGGACTTTTGGTATAGAATCGGAAATACAAGCCATTTCTGCGTTGATGAGGTAAGAGCTTTGTATAACGCGATTCTGGTATTGGATGTTTCTAATCTCTCACAGTGAATTTGACATTGCTGTGCTCGAGACGCATGCGGTTGGCGGCGTATACGCAACAGAAAACAACCCGTCTATACTGTCACAGATACAACTGGCCAACGGAACACACCTTCTGAATACTACGGTACCCGTCGTGTTCGTACACGGCACATCTCTCACGGCCACAGATCTGACGTTGTTGCGCACATACAATCATTACATGGCATATGCCCCGGAGTTTGAAATGTCGCACTCACGAGAGGTGGGCCAACAGCATCTTGCCATGGACCAAGCATCCCTCAGTGTAGGCACACATTATACAAACAGCGGCGATCTGATCACCCAAGCAAGGATCTGGCTCCAGAATGTTCGCGAGCGTTTGATGACTCACCTTACCACCGAGGAAAGAATTGTGGTGAATCGCAATCCGATGTCTACCAATCAAGGCTTTTTGCTGGCCACAAGGTCCGGGGCTCAAGCTATACGACGCGATGATCTTGGTGTGTTGCGTGTTGGGGCCAAAGCAGACATTGTAGTATACGACGGAAAGGCGCCGGGAATGTTGGGTTGGAGTGACCCTGTCACTGCTGTTCTCTTGCACTCCCATGTAGGACATGTCAAACATGTCCTTGTCAACGGAAAGATTTGGAAAAGAGATGGCCGGATTGTGCACCAAGGGTGTCTGAGCACCAATACAAGCAATATTGAAGAAGGGTTCCTCAAGGCTGCCAAAACGGTCCAGCAATTCTGGAATGAGAATCCAGTGTCACTGGAAGGTGCATTCCTGACGGGTTATAGTTATGGTGGAAGGGATGATATGGACGTTGTTCGAGGCCCGGCGACTGGGTATTGACCTTTTGCGACAATAGACACGGGAGAGCCTCAACAACATTGAAACGCAGTAAAATTAGGCCTGCTTCGATAATGATAGTACAGGTTTAAATAACATGGCATAATTACCTGCTAAACAGAAGACTGCGCGACTTATTGGAGGAGTGAAAGAGTTACACGCGCGAACAAAGATAAGATTACAGTAAGCTAGGTTGTATGATTATATAGATCGGGAGTGTTTTGCGGCTTTTCTAGTGGGTTCGATTATATTAGACGTGTCTTGACATGCTATGAACATCGCACAATTACTCGGATGTATGAGAGCCAGAGGTCGTGAACAGCATTAGTTCTAGTAGCGCAGATTGGTCATTGCTCCGCACAAGGAAGTAGTACGTTGACTAAGGTAATATCTCGCAATAGTAATACAAGACTGCTTCCACTCTACGTTGCATTCTTGTAAGTTACAATGTAGCTGATGGACCGACCGACTGCGCCCGGAGGCTTTGGTCGGTCGATTCGATCACTAATGGAACTGACTCAATCGGCTGGTTGAACCGTCCTTTTGTTGACGACACCGATGGGGCGAATGGACCTTGTATAAATACCATTCCTTCATCTGGGAATGATGCCAAGCATTTCAAAGCCGCATATCCCCTCAATTAGTACGGTGACCGCAAGGATGTCGATGTCCATGAGACAGGCCACGTACCTATGTGGACTACTCGGTGTCGGCAGTGCTTTTGCGCGAAGGTAAGGATTCTTCGGTATCGGAAGCCTCACTGCGCGAAGCCAAGGAATTCACTAGGTTTTAGCGGCCTGCTGCCCAAAGCCAAGCTTTCTACTTGATGCATGATTCCTAGTAATCTAGAGAGAAGACTAGGGAGACGCTTACTTGACTGACATCCTTGCGAGCTAACCTCATGAGGTCTACCACTGCACTTGATTCTAAACAAGCTTAAAAGCCAGGGACCTCAATTTATCATTGCTTTTACTGTTTCCACTCAGAAATCACTTCCACTCCCAGTCTGATCCTACTATACTGCTATATTTCTATCATGGTTTCCAAAGACCACTCTCCTCACGTGCTCATTCTTGGAGGCGGCATTGGCGGCCTGACACTCGCCCAGGCCCTAAGAAAGAAAGGGATCCCGTTCTCGATTTTTGAACGCGATTCAGAGCAGAATTCTCGCAGCCAAGGATGGTCTATAGGATTACACACCATACTAGACGACCTTAAAGCCAGCATTCCAGACGACATGCCATCCCTAGAGACAGTATTCCATCTTCACCCGCTCCAATTTCCTTCGCAGCTTGCTGTCTACCAGGCACAGGATCCGAGTCAGCGACATGGTGTGACCGACGATGGTTCCGGCAAACTTCTCAGAGCGAACCGTAGGAGACTAAGAGAATTTCTTAGTACTGGAATTCAGGTTGAGTTTGGGAAGCAAACAGCAGGAATTAAAGAGAATGATCACAGCGTAACGGTGAATTTCACAGATGGGACTTCAGCCAATGGTGATTTCTTGGTTGGTGCAGATGGCGTGCATAGTATTGGTAAGCCTCACCCACATATCTTGGACACAAATTCGTAGTGCTTATAGGAGACATGTTACAGTCCGCCGCCACCTACTCTACCCCAATGAGGACAAGCTTAAACGACTACCTATCGCTACTATTATTGGCGAAGTCACACTGGAAAACGAGGATATGGAGCGACAGCTCGAACTTGGCCATTCTTGCTACATTGTTCGCGCAGACAACGACATAACTGGCTCAGGAGATCTGGTCATGTTCATGGGTGTCAACGATGTCCTCCCTGATGCCAAGTCGGGGCTTTATTACTGGTTTTTGATCTGGCCGGACGAGGCTGCGACCCAAAGATTACACTGGACTGCTACTGCAAGTCAGCAGGAGCTTTTATCCGCAGCAAGAGCCATGACAAAGAATTTTGCGCCGGATTTCAAGGCCATTGTAGAGAAGACGTCTGTTGAAGGAATGAGAGCGCCACCCCTCGTTATGCACGACGTTGAGCTGTCCCCCGAGGATATCAGTTCTGGCAGAGTTGCGTTATTGGGCGATGCAGCACATTGTATGACGCCTTTCTCGGGTCAAGGAGGTGTCACTGCTATTCGAGATGCACTTGACCTGGCTCGAGCACTCTCACGCGTTGCTGAGGATGGTCTCAGGGGTGCGCATCTAGAAGCTGTTATGGCTGAGTACAGGGACACCATGCTTGAGCGTGGTGTTCGAGCTGTGCAACTATCACGGGACGCAATCACGAAGAGCAAGCTGGTCAGGGAGGGCGTGCCTTTTGCTTACGGCCAGTTTTCGGCGCCGATACCTCTGGAAAAGATTCGTCTGTGAAAAGTACTACACACTCGCATCGCACGAACAAGCTAGACATGACCTAAGAAAGCTCATTTTGAAACTATTGCTGTTTGTATAGGAGAGATGACTAACTATTACCTATCCATTCAGTGACTGATTGAAGTATTCAAACAAGACTTGATACGTTCGCCGTTTTGCAAACATTATCATTAAAGTCTAGATACTAAAGCGATACGAAGGAGCGTGTTTCTGTCTCGGTGCTACCCCGCCTATAGTACTCCAGGAGTCGCTGCAGTAGACCATGAGATTCCGGGACCTTCCTCTTTAAGTGCCAGACGTTTCCATCGCTGGATAAGCATTATTATGTGGACTGCTCTTGAGAACATTGCAATCGATGTGCGCTTCACCTCAAATCCAAGCCAATCGGCGCTGCAAAGTCCAACACCCTCCTCTCCCCTTAATTCTGCTAGGATCTGCACCAGCTTTTCGATCTGCCTCTCTGTCAAACCGTCGTCGCGTAATTCGAGTCCTAGCTTTACATAGCCTTTGCCCTTCCTTTGGGTTTGCCAGTGGTTTATCATTCCAAATTGACCCTGCCAGGTCATGCCAGATGCTTTGACCATACCCAGAAGACCAATATGAGTTGTGCTAGCTGACGAGAACCATATCGTGGATGAAGTATTGCGTTGAGGGTTCATACAGATCTGCTGGTTCAGTCTCAAAGTCGATAACGGTTCGCTGTTATCCTCATTTGCTTGTGTAGTCAAAGCATGGATTAAAGCATGAGTGAAAGAACCTGGTCCCGGACTTGCCGGTCTTTCGCCAATTTCGCACGCACTTATGAGCTCAAAATGCTTTGTGTTTTTTTTCTTCTTCTTACTCTTATTCTTCTCCGATGGGCTACCTGTAGTGGTATGATCAATCGCTGGTTTGGGTGCATATTGCGTGTCCAGTAGCATGAGTATATCTGCCTCAACATCGTCGGAACGGAGAATATCTTCTGATTTGTGCCAATTGACCTGGGGCGGAAACCTGAAATGGCTCTTATGGACTGTACTCCATAATTGAAGGCCCCCTTGAGATTTGCTGTAGTAGCCATGGCCGGTATAGTATATGATTAGTAGATTGTGAGGCCCGTCGTTCTTCAAGATAAATTCAGAAATATGCCGATCCATCTGAAGCTGGACTTTACTCCGGGCATCGAGAACGACAATTTGGGTGTCGAACTGAAACCCAGCACGGAAGAGAGTTTCCAAGTCTTCTACCTGCAACTAAGTTAGCATGTTATACAGGAGTGTCCTTATACGAAATTGAGCATATCGATAACAGATATCGACGTGTGTTGCCAACTTCTCAACTCAGATGGGCTTTGGTGACCAATTAAGATTTGCGCACCTCTTGACGCCTTTTTGCGGATGCTTCTGCCCATCTCACTAGTAATACGGAGACCCTTGTGTAAGCCCGTGTGTTGTTCAAACTCATACCGATCGCTTTCTTCCACCACGACTCCATGTCTTTCACATCGCCTTGTGTACGTCTGTCACGGGATGGACGGTGTTTGTACCAACGGTTTACTTCAACCAGTTGCGTTTCGGAAACATTCACTATTTCCGACGACTCTAGGGTTTCTGTTGTCGGAAGTACGTTCTCTTGAAACACAGCCAACCTTGCTTTCGACGGATTGAGATTAGAAGCAGTAGGTAGTCGCTTCGCATCTGAGACGTCGCCCCTAGGGCCCTCACCTGTAGTCACCACGCCCGTTCTCCGTTCAGTTGCTGCTTTTCGCTCAATTTCCCAGCCAAGGCGAGCAAATGCATTTGATCGACGTTCGCCATAGATTGGTGGCATATGTACCCCGAAAAGACCAAGAAGACAATAGGCCGCATCTTCTTCCCGCTTAGTTTCACGGCCCTTTGCCCAAGACATCCGCTCATCAATACTGAAGTCCGACGGAGAGAGTGGCTTTGCTTGTAAAGCTTGCACAGGAATCCCTGTGATCCGATGTATTCGTCCAGAGAGCCAGAATTTGTCACCGAGGAGCGTGTGATCAGAGGCGAAGAACTCGACCGAAGACGGGGCGAGAAGTTCCTGGAGAGTCCAGCCTCTGGTGAACCATTTGCTCGTGTCGAGCGCAGGCCCTGATGTTGCAACATCAGTGAGATACACGTAGCATTTGGCAGAACACTGATACCACCAGTACATGGAATTAATCGCTTCAGAAAGTTTCACGCTATCTCTCTTGTCAATGCAGCACGTATCCACCTGACGAGTGTCAGCTATTATGTACAGATATGTAACACAAAGAATCCTCACCCAGAAATATTCCAATCCATCTTTTTCCGCTTGCGCAGCGCAGAAGCGCAGTTTCTCGTAACCGGATTTGCTTTTGCCCCTACTCTTTGTGATGTCCTTGAATGTCACTTCGTCGCTATCGGATCCCCAGGTGTGCGATAGTATAGCATATGGTGGAGGCTCTCCATAGTATTCGGTAAGGCTGAACTCGCCGTCACTCTCACGTCGCAGTAAGTGCATGTCGAGATAGCAGGGGATGCTGGCCTTTTGAGTTGCCGTTGTACATTAGCGCCAGGAGCGTTTGTGTGATGCTCGCTGGCAGCGACGGACGCCTAGACGAAGACATGATCAAGTGATCAAGTAAGCAGTGGCGTTTTCGAGGTCCAAGAGTTGAGATGCAGCCTTGAGAGTGACAAGGGTTGGCGGCGCGTGGAGCTGAGGTGGGGGCGGGGCAGATTGGCAGGGTCCATGACGGAGCTTCGCGTTCCTCGAAATATCTGACACTCCGGGCACCAAACTTCTTCCACAAGAACATCCTCCCACCCAAGCTCTGCGCATCAATTTTATACTCAAATCATACGAAAGAGTTCTGCATTCAAACCGCCATCATGCAGATGCCAGACATACCCGTCAACGTCCCAATCGACGACCCCAACGCCGACACAGAATGGTGAGCCAGGCGACCACCAACCCCAAGCAAGAACCGACAGCCCTAACATGCGCGCAACAGGAACGACATTCTCCGGAGTAAAGGCATCATCCCCGAAAAGCCACCATCGCCCACACCCATGATCCAAGAAGCGCTCGAGCAAGCCCGCCAACTCGCCCACGAAAACCGACTAGAAGGCAAAGACCTCGACGAACTAGCCGAGCTAGAGGACGAAGAAGACGACGACTTTCTCGATTCGTACCGTCAGAAGCGCATGGCTGAACTGTCCTCTATAAATACTGCCTCGGTCTACAATCAAGTCTACCATATCCAGAAACCAGACTACTCGTCCGACGTGACCGAGGAGAGCAAAAAGGCATACGTGCTTGTCCTACTTACGAGTTCTACCGGTACAAATACAGAGTCAAGAGTCATGATTGAGCATTGGAGGGAGCTGGCAAAGAGATTTGGAGACGTCAAGTTTTGCCAGATGAGGGCGGATCTGTGCATTGAGGGATATCCGGATAAGAACACACCGACGGTCTTGATTTACAAAGATGGAGATATCAAGAGGCAGATTGTCACACTGATGCAATTGGGCGGGCCCAGGACAAGTGTACAAGGTACGTCACGCTCACGGGTATAGATGGCAGTTTTGCGTTACAAAGATGCTAATTCATCATGATAGATATCGAAAGAATCCTCGTGGATGTTGGCGCGGTCAAGCTAGGAGACACCCGCCTCCAGAAGAAGAAAGAAGATGATGAAGATGTCAATACGAGCAAGATAAGACAGGGAACCACCGCTGGCGACGACGACGATAGCGATTGGGATTGAAACAGCCACGATTAGCTGTCGTTCCTTGGCTGGATCATATGCCTCGTTGACACCTTGTGTCACAGCAGGTGCATCTTCAAACTGAAGAGGAAACATGTTGCGAGGTGTGCATCGCAGAGGGGGTAAGCCTAACGTCGTCCCAGCGATGGGTAAGCTCCTGCCCCGACCATAGTCGTAGCGATACTTTGGGAGCACAGCCAATGACACCGCAGACGGGAGCGCAATATAGCAGGTTTGGAGATTGGCTTCCTAGGCAACATCCTTTTCCTGAGACGTTGTGGAGAATTGCGCCAATGGTGTACATGCGAGATGTAGTTGTAAAACTGGGTCGTTAGCACGTATGTATATGCACTCGTGGTACCAACGACGAACGTGGAAAAGTTGCTATAGACGACCTGTTCTCGGCGTTCCAGCTATGCAAAATGTTCATGCTAATCTCCCTGTACACGTTCTCGGCGTGGAGTTACCACTCACACACGTCCATGTGTTATAGATGGCATCATCGACCGCTAGCTCATGACTTGAAAGAGCTGTTGGACAGGGATGAAGTGTGCATATGCTCTGTTGGATGACATGTTGACCTCCCAAGACTTCTAAGCTGCTTCAAAAAGGACTTTGCGTCTTTGGGAACGGCTTCTCGTCCGAAGCTTCATGCATCGATGCGGGGAATGTAGGCTGTTTTGACACGTTATTACCCCTTCTGGATATTGGTCAAGGATGACGGGTGATTAGCGAGCGTGGGGTTTCTGATAGGCTTTGGTATTCCTTGGCATATTTGTTTAGTACTTGGAAATGTTGGGAGGGGGAAGAGTAGTGGGCGGTGTTGGTGAAGTGTGTCTTTGTTTCATGTATTGGTCTCGCGGCGATGGAGTCGCTACGTTGTTGTGAGTATAAACATGTAGTTTGGTTCATAGACTCTGTTGTACTTCGTGTGAGCGCCAGCGATGGAGACGTGACGGATCAGGAACATGTTAATTTCCTGAATTCGATTTTCCTACATCGAGCGCCGTAGAATGACTACAGAGACACTGTATCGAATAACCTTTTTCCGCAAGTGCAGACACCTTGCCTTGTATCGTTGCCTCTTGATAGTTCGAGCGTCCTAACTCACAAGACTGCTCATCAGGCTACAGTGATGCCGAACGCCCAAAGCGCCCAAATCCCGCAAAGCAAACTTGCCAGCCTAAATGGTAGAGAAAAGACAGAAAAGGAAAAAAAACGGGGTATTGACAAGAAGAAAGAACGTTGCAGTAACGGCAGCCCAGCCATCATATAAGTTCATCACCGCCGCATCGACGCGACTCTTCGACTGCTTGCCAAATGGTGCTCTCTGCAAACACAGGTCCATGACCATCGCACGTCGTCTTCCCTTTCAGCCGCTCACATACATCAGCCACATCGACGAGACCCTGCTTGACGAGCGTATGCGACTGTATCAAGTCCCAGGCCTGTGCAGCGGGAATCTCTCTCCCCTTGGCCTTTGTGCGTGAATGTTCCCTACCAGCAGAATTCACAACGGAGCCATTGGTCAGCGACTCGACGCTGTAATCCATCTCCTGTTCGTCGTCATCCTCTGCGGGCAGATGGGCGCCGGGCGAGGGATAGCTCGCAGAGACGGGGCGCGAGGAGGCGGGAGAATGGCCACTGGTAGCGCGCAGGATCTCGTTCTCGGTGCGGGCGCGATGCAGCGCGGCTTTCAAGCGCTCGTTGTCTGACTGGAGGGAGCGGGTACTGGATTCGAGGGCCGACAGCTTCGTCTCGAGCTCCTTGACGTGGCGTTCTTTGCGCTCGCGGAATGCGCGCTGGCTGTGACACCCAAGTCAGCACTCTTGCCCGCAAGACAACGGTACGGGTGGGACGGGAATAAAAACACACGCTGCCCTGTTCTGTGCCTTGCGCCTGCTCTGGGCAGGCGTCAGGTTGTCCTTTTCCTCGCTGCTGCTTCGCGTCTGGTTTGGCTGGCCATCTTCGAGTTCGGGGCCCAGTCCAGAGTCTACGCTGCCGACAGGCATGGGGGTGTGTGCTGCTATGTTTTCCGGAGAGCCCTGCTGGGGGGTGGGCAGGCCGTTGTTAAGGCTAAAGGCATCGTAGCATGTGGGATACAGTCCGGGGTCGAGAGGTTCCTGGTGCCGCGTCAGGTCACATTACTAAGGCTGTTTGCGGGGTCTTCCGGCACGCCCGCCGCCCCTACTCACAATGCTCTGCGTCGTGTCTGTGTCGAGTGCGCCGTGGGCGAACGAGTGCTGCATGCCCAGGAATTGGTTGTAGGGCTGCTGGGGCCCGCCAAAGTACGAGTAGTCCATGGTGGTTTCGACGTTGCTGGCTAACACGGCTGTAGCGCGACCGAGGAGCTCCACGCTACTTTGGGTTGCTAAGTACTGACTGAGCCCTTGCAAAGCACCGAATAGCCCCCGTAGCGGATTCGACGCAGATCGAGAGTCGCAGCGTCGAGGCAGCACCAAGGCTCAAGTATCTCCACGACACGCACAGCTGGACATCTGGGCCTTATAACCCAGCAAAACGGTAGGGGTGGAGCTTAGAGGTGCTCACTCCCGCTGCCATGACGCCCAACCGGATTGGTCAAACTAAACAGCCATGCAGATGGTGGCGCAAAGGCCATCTAGACGACCCCAATACACGGTTTGCGGCCTTCAACCGCTCTGCATTGCTGCAACCATGAGCACGCCTGCATGTGCCTGTTGTGTTACGCCGGCGACTCATCATGGACCTGGCCATCTCCTCACGTTAGACTTTTCAGCCTGCCAACAGTGTCTGCTTACAGTGTCGACCAAAACCGCGGATGACAATTCAGTCGCAACTGTGACGGACAACGGCCACATTGTTGCTGATGGCGGCCCTTATCGACCCGAACGCACGAGTTTCGCTAAGCAGCCCAAACGGGTATTCTCCAGCAGAAGCAATGCTGACTGCAGCTTCGCAAGCACGATACTGTGTACTGTTAGGGTAGGGAACGGCGGCATCCTGGCATGAAGTGCACCCAGACTCACTACAGCCATGTCTCGCACGTGTACCCACTGGACGACGGTGCTGACTGAGTCCTGTCGACACAAGCTGCATGCATTTTCATGTCCAAAGCATGCTGGGTGCATTGTGAGTACCGCTTGCGTCTAATAGTCTGCATCTTTTCTGGAGAGCATTTTCCTCAACTCGACGCATTCGGCAGGGTTACTTTACCACCGTAAGCCAGCTGTAGTACCCTGGCCCTACGCATCAGCATCCCCGGACACAGATCGTTGCTTGATCTCCACAAGCCAAAGCTGAACCTGAATGGTGCAGATGAAAGCGTGAGAAATTTCCATGAGGACTCACGACATACCATCCCTCAGCGTTGTAAGCACTAGCCTCGCATCATTTAGTGTACAAAATCGTCGCCCGTGGCGTACTTTCATCCTCAGCAAATCGGGTCTCACATCATCCTGCAGCCACAGTGTACGGCGAAGCTTGCAATTACTGTGTCCTTCTACTGCTCCGACTACACGACGGTATTTCCACTGGGAACAATTGATGAAACCTCTATGTGTTTGCTTACGGTGCGGTTGTGTAGTCTCGTTGACACCGTCGACAAGCTTCGCACCGTCATGCGCTCTGCATCGCGGAATAAGCTGCTGAACAAGTTGAGATTGTTAGCAGGGACGCGGCAAGACTTTATAGTAAAGGAATGTAGCGACACTCAAGAGATGCGTTCTCATAATGCTCGAGCTCCCTTGTGACACGTCTCTAGTCTGCTTCCGGCTTCTGATAACTTCTCACCATCAGCTAGTTGCACTTGCTTCTAGTGAGAATGCACATACCTACTTTTCCTCTTCACTGACTGTGCGGAAGACTGTGGACACAACGACGATCACCACGTTGAAGGTACTGTATGAAACTGTAATCGACCAGACTGCGACAAGCTTCGGAATCTGCACAAGACCCATGATCGCCACATCATGCAGGTATCGCTAAAGCTTACTTGAAATGGCCAAGATGATCTTCGTCTCTCCAGATCCGCCCCGAGCTCACGAGCATCCCCCAGTGTCGAATAGCGAGAAAGGTAGAGTTTGTCTAAAGGCTGTTACTAATCACCTTTCATGCTCTCCTACTTCAACTCACGCATGTAAGATGACTTGGATGCTTGTAACGCACTTGGCTAACAGTAGTGCTATTTGTAGCAAGATAATTTTTTTTTGAAATACGAGTGCAAGGCGACAACTTCGAGTCATTGTTGCCCTTAGTAGGCTAGCAACGATACCTTCGAGGTGTGCGCCACGCGGCGAGAATTACATCGCTCCATCATGTATCCAGCTCAATCAGATGCTCCGTCCAGCACCATCGAGCCAAGTATCCGTTCCAGCTCTCGAAAAAAAGACCGCCAAGGTCTCGACCAGACTGTTCCCGAGCTTCGGAGCTTCGGAGACTGACGCCAAGCCAGCGAAAATTTGCATCTAATCTTATCAATCAGTCTTAGCTGGACGCTATACCTCATGCAGGGCAGCATTCACGATCTCCTACTGGATCACCATGTGCAAGAAGCTTTCCGGTAGTTCGGCACATGTTCCCAGAGAGGAAAAGTGATGGTGAATGTACGGAGTTGTTTGCCAATTCAAACCATGTCAGGCCACCCTGGGCATTCACCTACCTATGGTCGACTCGCGCAGCATTGGTACAAATAAGAAACCTCGCAGCGCACGCTGAGACCAGTTTACTATCACACTGCAACCTCGCGTTCCAACCAGCTACTCGCCATGTCTCACCATAGCGATGCTGACGTTGACAAGAACGTGCAGCTCAGCACCACGGTGACGGGCCTCGACTCACGTGCCAAGCAAGAAAGCGACTTCACCATCAACCAGAATCCCCAGTCTCCAGCAGCACTGTCCGGTGCAAAGTCCCCCGGTGTCCTACGTATCGAAGCACTCAATGCACACACGTCCTTCATCAACCGCTGCTGCATTTTCTTCGGCATCTTCCTCGTCGCGTATGCATATGGTTTAGACGGCACGCTGCGGTACACTTACCAGCCTTATGCCACTTCGGGATTTCAGGAGCACTCAACCTTGGCCACCATCAACGTTCTGAGGAGTGTTATTGCTGCTGCTGCGCAGCCTACTGCCGCTAAGGTTGCCGACGTTTTCGGGCGCGTCGAAGTCGTCGTTCTTTCTATCTTCTTCTATATCCTCGGTAGGTCCCCCGGTCCCACATGGATATGTTATAGTGACGAGATGTCCGCCTCCTACCGGTTCTGCTAACACAGAAGTCTGTAGGAACGGTTATCGAGGCTGCCAGCAAAGATGTCGAGTCTTTTGCTACAGGTGCCGTTTTCTACCAGATTGGGTACACGACTATCATTGTTCTCATCGAAGTCATCATAGCGGATATCACATCCCTTCGCTCTCGTCTCTTCTTCTCCTATATCCCCGCCATCCCGTTTCTAATCAACACGTGGGTTAGCGGAGACGTCAGCCAGGCTGTGCTCATCAAGACGACTTGGAGATGGGGTGTGGGCATGTGGTGTATCATCTACACTGTGTGCTGCATTCCGCTAGTTGCTTCGCTCATGTGGTCGAGTCGACAAGCTCGAAAGGCCGGCTCACTTGACAAGTACCAGACACCGTATCAGGTCCATGGCGGTAGCGTCAAGAATCTGCTAATGGCGCTCTTTTGGCAAATGGACGTTCCTGGTATTGTGCTGCTGATTGCTGTGTTTGGCTGCATTCTAACGGTGAGTTGGCGTACTTTTTCACCTATCGGATGTTTGCTTTGCTGACTTATCCAAAAGCCTTTTACCATTGCGGGTGGCGAACAGTCACAATGGGGTACGGCCAAGGTTATTGCCCCCCTTGTCATCGGATTCCTGTGCCTTCCCGTCTTCGTCATTTGGGAGAGGAGAGCACCGCATCCAATGCTTCCCTTCTATCTGCTGAAGGACCGTGCAGTCTGGGGTGCTCTGGGAATTGCTTGTACCCTGAACTTCGCATGGACCATGCAAGGCGACTTTCTGTACACCGTACTCGTCGTTGCGTTTGACGAATCTGTGAAGAGCGCGACTCGCATCAGCTCTTTGTACAGTTTCACGTCCGTCATTACTGGGCTGATACTCGGTGGTATTGTTTTCAAGGTCCACCGCCTGAAACCGTTCATCATTGCGGGAACATGTCTCTTCGTGGTGGCTTTTGGTCTCCTGATCCACTACCGTGGTGGCTCGGGCGATTCGTCGCACTCTGGCATCATTGGCGCGCAGATATGCTTGGGTATCGCGGGCGGTATGTTTCCGTATCCTGCGCAGGCGAGCATTCAGGCTGCAACGAAGCACGAGCGTAAGTACTTCCTTTCCGTCGCCGCTTACCGTTGAATCAAGAATACGCAATGCTGACGATTGATGATAGATGTCGCCATTGTCACAGGCATCTACCTCGCTACCTACAACATTGGAAGCGCGCTTGGCAACACCGTCTCAGGCGCCATGTGGCAGCAAATCATACCGAATGAGCTGGTCCGACGAACCGGCGATGCATCACTCGCGGCCACCGTCTACGGCGATCCGTTCACCTTTGCGGCTTCGCATCCTGTGGGTACGGCGGAGCGTACTGCTGTGATAGAGGCATATCGGCATGTGCAGAGACTACTCTGCATTGCGGGCATCTGTCTGGCAGTGCTTCTTGTCGCCTTCTCGCTCGTCATTCGAGACCCGAAGTTGGGCAAAGAGCAGAGTTTGGAGGATGCGGAGGAGAGTGCTGATGTGGTGAGCTCGGATAGTAGGCACTAAGTGTCGTTGGGACCTAGAACGCTGCGTTTACAGTAAGCAGTATTAATGGATGTTTTCTGTGACTTCGGATAATGGAAAGGTGGTAGCTATGCGGTGCCTGTGGCTAGTGCTGTTGATACCATGATCGTCCGAGGGTCCCGGGAATTTGGTGAGACCCACTTGACGTCAAGCATCTGGTACGTCAACTTACCACATCTAACGTTATAAATGAGTGCCACCGTCGAGGGCTCGCACAGGTAGCTATTGCAAAGCGCGAAACGAAGTATATTGATCCGGCGCCATCTTGTCTCGTGGACTACCAGCGACGCAACACTGACTTCGTCTACGTCACAAATCGCCATCAACTAGACTTCTAACACGCTTATAGCAAACCACAAATCATGAAACACGACCAAGATACTTCGTGGTACTTACTTCCGCCTTGTGAAGCTAGGTGGTTTGTTATCTACAGATAACAAAGGAAGGTCCGAAACTGTGTGAGGAGACCACGCAATTGAATACTGATGATGAAACGCTCTTGCTGAGTTACACAAACTTCTGGACAGAGTGGCTGGTGCTTGTTGAGAAGATGTTTTGGAGTGTTTTACATAGCAAAGGAAAAGAAAAGACGAAGGTAAACGACAGATATGTAATGTAAACGAGAGATATGTAATGTTCATTGGAGTCTTCATCTGCGTTTGTTCTCCGAGTAGCGGATCACACGCCTTGGGTACGAGACAGTTTCACTCACCTGCAGACTGCGTAGCAGAGGTGATAGAGACTTTGGACCCACTGTGCAGCCAATAGGAACTGTTTCGACATGGTTTTCTGACGCAATCGTGCCCTTGGAATTGTAGGCGTGACTGTCACAACAGCTAATTGCTCGAGTTAACGTAATGATGTGATTGTCGGTGAAAGTGAGAAGTGGGAGATAGGCGGTGCGTGATCTTACCGAGCGCACCTGCTTGCAACATAACGCGTCCTTCCCGTTTGCAATGACGCCACCACCTTCACATGCACCAATTTGTCCCTTGCAGCTTTTCAAAAACTTTTCACTGCTTTTACGAGCTCTGCAGTTCGTCCGCTTCCTTTCTGCAGCTCAACAAATAGCTTCTTGTTAGTCTTCAAATATCGAGCCGTGGTGACACCCCTTCGATATCACTGAGGATCACGACCCAACGCTGCGGTAAGACTCAAGTGTACCGGAGTACTCTTATCGACCATTTCTAACAGTTCATTAAGATACCTAGGTGTTGTTTGTCTCGAACATTGTCATTGCTGTTCAACAGTACAATCCAGACGCCAGGTGAGCCATATTTTCCGTTTCTTGATCATATCAGCCACTAACCCCACTAAGCACCTTCCAACTGTTGCTCTGATGGCCTGGATTCCCCCGAACGCGCCGCCGAACCTGCTGGCCCGTGTTTCCGCTGAGCAGTGGAACGCATGGGCTGACGGAGCTCCCTTGGACATTGCCTCGCAGCGGCAATCCCAACAGCAGACCACGTATGCATTCCGCCTCAACGCCAACTTCACTAGTACGTCCGAATCGATCCAATACAAGAAGGGAATGCAAGGCCAATTCCTAGGTCTGACGGAAAAGGGAATGGCCAAGATTTTCATACGCGGCGTCACTGAGGGAGACGGCTTCAAGAACCGCCATGTTCCCCTCAAATACATTGATAAGGGCCCTCTGTGGCAAGCTGATGTCAGCAACTGGCTTTTAGATGTCAAACTGCCAGGTCATGCAGTATTCGACAAGCGACACTGGACTACTTCATTAATGACTGACACGACTGTACTCGGCAAAACTGTCACTCTCCTCATATCAGCTTTTCTTCACTCGCCCCCGCCCGGAGATGCCGAAAAGATTACAGACTATATCCGCAGATCCAGCTTCTCGGATCTCAGCATGCTTATAATCAAGGGTATCAAAGATGCTGGTCTCTACAACGTTCTATCAGACGCGGACAAAGAATTCACATTCGTGGATCTGATTACAACCGCTCGGATTAGGGTTCGAGATCGGCATTCTTCGGATCGGGCTGGGGTCTATGCGAGGTTTCACAAGTCTTCCGAAAGTGTCGAACACTGGAAGCCAAACTCACGCTATGCTTACGTTGGCAAGTCAAACGATCTTGGCTCGCACTTTGAGTCACATCTCCATTCATCTTCAAAGTACGGTGATCTGACCCGCAATTCTGAGTCGCTAGACATGATCGCACTCTGTGTCCTTTCCGCGACAGCCGACCCTGGACTGTTCTATCTTACCGAGCAGCTATTTGTCTGTCTTTTGCAGACCTACAAGCCAGAATTGACAAGCCCGACTATTACGGATTCAAGTTTGCTAGTATTTAGCAAACTTGCGAACTACTACACGAATATCTCGGATGAAGTATTCCGCATGACTGGATGGCATGGTTTCATCGGCCGTGGACTCGCTTCGAGTGGCATTGAGTACGGGGCGAACTGCAGCTCGCCATTACACGAATACGGAGTGCTTGAACATAAACACCTCCTCATTCGGACCGACGACAACATCAGAGACAACAAGACTGGTTCGTTCATACCTATGGCCATATATCGATGTGCCGAACAGGTCTCAATCCCAGCCGACTCGAAACGAGTCAACGTGTTCAGGTACTGTGCCTACAAGAATGGTGAGCGTGAAGAGGTTATCAGTTTCCGCGCTAGGTATGGCAAGAAGGGGGATGTTCACCTCCCTCCTCCTGGGTCTCATTTCAACTTCGTTATCGAGGTCCGAAAGGATGGAACGACACACCCACATGCCTGGGCACGACTTGCAGCCATTGGTCCATTCAAGAACTGGGACCAGGCAAACTCATTCGCAGTCCGTATCGAATGGGAGTTTCCAGTATCCTCTGGGAAGTGGCAATTTGCGTATGTTCAATCCAACATCAACAAGGAGCGAATCGACCCCCAAGTACCAGGATCACTCAAAAACTATGCTAAAGCCATAGCATTCCTCCAGTGGTTAACCAATGCTCGACCAAACCACGATCATGCTTGGATTCCCAAGACTTCAGGAGCAGCACTTGTCCTACAGACCGAGTACGACTTCATGAGCCAGACCATTCGGTTTCAGGACGCCAAGAATGATATTGTCATGCTGCCTGGCGGTAGAAGATCCAATGACGATATCATCGCTCAAATGTCTCGACCAGAATATGGGCTCACTCGAGTAGCCGGTAAAAATCGTGGCTCCTCTTGTGATACCTGTAGGCTTCTCTCGTTCTCGACCAAGGCCAAAACCTTTCCAGACAGGGAATGCGTCCCTGTAAAGCTCTTTGCCGACCTGTGTACGAACTGTGCAGTGCTTGGTCTCCCATGCTGTACATTCACCGATGGCGTCTACGACAAGCATGTACCACACACGCCCGACACTAGACTTGCAACAGACAAGGCGGCAGCGGCTTTAGTGGGCATGCCTCTGGCCGATATCCCCCAGGAGTCGCAATCCTTTGCTCAGCAGTTGAGGACCATCGGGACTGGCAATCAAAACGATGATGACGACAGCGACTGCGGAGACGACGACCTTGGCGGGAGCGACGACTCTGGCGAGAGTGACGACGACTTTTGACGACGACTTTGAGTAAAACCGAGGGGTAGAGTGTTTTCGGGGTAAATTGTAGGCGTCGAGGTCTACCAGTTTTTGAACTTCGTCTTGTATATTAGCAGCCGACAGAGGCACTACTACACTCCTTTAGCTTCTCGAATACAACTGTACAACACCTGTACATCCTTATTCCCTTGGTCGTGCTGAGGAGATGCTTCGACATCCTCGTGATAGTGTCCTCATACACTCCAACACTCGTACATTAGCCATTACTGTAGTCGCCACGAAGACTCAAGAGCAAATCGAGCTCATCAATACCGTTCTTCCCAACGTGTGCGCCAATGACAAGCCAGTCTACGAGAACATGCTGCTGGAGCTGTACCAGAGGCTATCAGATGAGCAGCGGCAAAGCGAAGCCGATGCTGAAGCGCCAGCGAAACGTGTTCGACAGGCTGGCTGCCCTAAGCCAAAACGTCGCGTAAGTTATATCGTACTCCATCGTTCCTACAGTACCCAGGCTCTTGCACGCCGCCCAAAGTAGATTCACTTGCATGTTAGCATGACTGCACTACAGCTACAATGTAGAAGAACGCGAGCTAGATCTGTAGATTAGGCTTCACGTTTTCTTTAGGGAGTAGAAGGTTTACCTACAACTATTTGGAACAGCAATGACATATGGTTGTTTGTGTCTTATACGCTAAAGAACACCACTAATCGCATCGTAGAAAACGATAAAAATCTTTGAAGACGAGAAAGAAGACGATGACAACTATAAGATGTCCGGTGTTGTCTCTGTCGCACCGCCAACTTCACCAAAGGGCAAGGAGAACGAGGGCCGCACTACGCCAAAGAGAGAAACTACCTAGGTAAACATCTCATTTGAGCAGAGTACTCCTTCCTACTACAACGAAGCGCATTAGAGCTATATAGACATACACAGAGAATCTAGAAGCCTACAATACTATTAATTCCTATAATATCTCTTATTAGGAGCTAATGTAAGCTGCAAAGTAGAGCTTACTATCTCTACCTATTCGGTTTTTCTCTTGTCTAGGGTGGCCGGCCAAGGCGCAAAGCCGCTCAACGAGCTATCGAAATAAACAGATCCTACTCTCCATGTTAAGCTTCGCTCGCGGTCAGAATGTGGATGAGCTTGTCAAGAATACCATTGAGCATGACATGACGTGACACACTCAACTCAATCTGAAGGGGTTAGAATGCTCGCCAATCTTGGAGAAACGCCATTCCGTTAAGGGGTGGTTTGAGGAGACTGTCAGCAGCGCCGCTCTAGCTGCAATAATGAAGCCAAATTGCAACCCCAGAAGTTCGATTGTTCTTCTGTATGCGTGCGTTGGGATGGAATAGCATCACCAAATATATCGTTCAGCGAAAGACGCATGGACTGAATTTGATGTCATCAATGGCAGGCGTGCCGACCACTCTATCATGTCGCCGTGTCTTTGTCAATACATGGACTAGTACCACAACTGATGCGACTGGACACTGCCCATTCTCTCGAATGCGGTAGGATCGGCTTTTCTTTCTTCTCGAAGGACGATGCGACAATGCGACAATGCGACGACGTGGTGATGCGGTGGCGCGACGACGCAAAAACGCAACGGTTGACACTACAGCCTCCACCTTCCGACCTCGGACATTCCACGCACCCAAGACATTTTGATAACACAAGCTCAGACAAGCTACGACGCGTCCCCAAATCGCCGAAGGTTGTGGGGTTACTGGGGTGTTTGACCGCGAACTGCCGCCGACCGCGTTGCGCTGTTCCCAGCACATTCTTTCCACTCTGCACCATGTAGCGTCTTGCAACTTCTACTCTTTTCGCAACCCTAGCTAACAATAATGCGTAAATCAGGGCTGAGACTTGACCGCGAACACTCGTGGGATTTGATCCGGCAAGAAAGCACGTAACAGCATCTTAGCTGCATCCATTCGCAGCGCGCTTTGCATGATCCGACTATATCGCACCAGCACATCACGATCATTTGTAACAAAGAATTCCCCTAATCAAACTCCTCCTCTCGCGCCTTGCGAGGACGACTTGTCATCATTGTCTGTGTTCCTGAATCATGGGACTCCGCTACCAGGTTGTTCGGGCCTTCGGTCAAAAGAGAAAAACCGAGCTTCTTTGTCCCTCGAACACAGATTTCGCCGCCACGTATACGAAGAGAGGCTTCTAGACAGCAATGCCGCAAACCGGTTATGGAAGGTCGATAAGTGTATATCTTACAAGCACGGTAATCGCGATTATGACGGCGACAAATCGGCTCGCGATAGGCGCGAATGATACGAGACAGAATCCGAGAACGATGCACGCGTGTCGGACCTTTGACGGCGTGTGCTCTCCTCGCAGTGCGCGACGCTCTTGATAAATCAAAGCCGTGCGGCACACCTTCTACCTTGAGAGCTTGCTATCTGTTGGTCAAGATAGGTATCAAAGCACAGGTGGAAAATTGCTTGTCCGGAGGATTATGATGTTTCTTAAATCACGGACTATCACTCGGCGAGAGATACTACTTGCGCTACACGTCCTGTGGATGTGACAGCGAGTGATGTCGGGCTTATTTGAAGATTGCATAAGAAGAGACACCACAGAAGTATGGACGTAGACGATGCGTGGATGACTCGACACCATCGAGAGCGCCGATATATATTGGCATGTTTATTTTCAGTAGTATCTCATTCCCATTTCACATTCGAAATCACGTGTAAGACTATGGCTTCTGATGGGCAGCTCGAGCTCTGACCATGAGTGGCGGCTTCAGCCAGAAAGAGTATGTCTCTTGCGTCAACCAGTCGTCGCATCTTTCGTCAAGCTCAAAGTCAAAGTCCCAAAGTAAATGGCTCAAGGCCAGCCTCAACTCGTAGTGTGCCAAACTGTGATAGCAGATTAGGTATGTGCGTAACGGCGGCAGGGGTGGCGGACTTACTTTCTTCCAAGACAAGCGCGTGGGCCGACCGAAAAAGGGTTAAAGGCCTTCTTATCATCTTTCTCGAATTCTACGGCGCCTTCAGGTAGCCATCTCTCCGGAGCAAAGTCATCTGGTCGCACGAAATTCCGTGAAGAGTGAAATGTTGGGTAATGGAGAACGAATACCGTAGCGCCCTGGTGGACATACTCGCCGCAGATCTGCATTCCTCCTGCTGGAACCAATCTCGCCAAAGTTTCTGGGGCACCAGGGTAGACTCGCATGGCCTCGTCTAGAACTGCGGTCATATACGTAAGCTTCGGTAGGGCCTCTATGGTCATGTCTTCCTTTGAATTGAAGTTGTCGAAGATCTCTTTCTTCAATCTTTCCATGCAGTTTTTGTTCTTCAGGAGTAGATATAGCGTTCCTGATAACACAGTTGCCGTGGTTTCTGAGCCAACCACCATGAAGAGGGCAGCGTTGCCGACCATTTGGTCCAAAGAGAGGTGTGCTTTCTTTCCGTCAGGTCCACCGGTGATCAAGCCCCAGAGATCTGGACGATCAGTCTTTCTTTCCAGTCTCTCTCTTACCCTGTCCTCGGCAAACTTCATGTGGGCATCTCGCTTGGCCTTCATGGACTTTGGCACTAACAGCGGCAGAATCTGAGATGCAAATGGGATATGGTAGAACACAACAATGCGAATGGTGACGACTTTGATAGTCGCAACAATCACGCGTACCCAACTGTTGTACTCTGACCGCTCTAGTAGACCCAGAGATGCACCGAAGGCAAGGTCGCCCATAACATCGAAAGCCAGGAAGTTGAACATATCCACCATGTTTGTCTCAAGACCTTGATCGACGCGTGACTGTACTGCTGCAACCAGTCTGTCGACATGCTTGCGTAGCAAAGACTCTTGTTTCTTTAGTGCTCGAGTAGAAAAGCCTTGATTGAAGAGTTGGCGTTGTTCGCGATGCTTCTCGTCGTCCAGAACGTCGATGATACCCGGCTCGCCTGACATCGGCGGAGGGTTAGCGAGAGGGTTCTTCGGTAGAGGCTTTCGGGGTGCGGAGTTGCCTGTGCCGTGGATATCTTGATGGAATTAGTGACAATGTACTCAGAATAGAACAAGGTGGCAACTACCCTTCCATGCGTCACTGGATGTGTAGCTTAATTCCCAGGGGCTCAGGCGCACAACTGGACCATATTGTTCGTGAAGGCGGTGCGCGTCGAACACTGTGGCACCCCTCCATCTGGAGAGAATGCGAGGTATAGGGGACGCTCGCCACAAGAGTGGACCCGGATACTTTCGAAGTGGGTGAAAGAGGACATTGTACACCAGCCATCCGACGATGGACGTGATCTAGACAGGCTTAGAACTTCGATACAATTGCAATGACGATAATCCAACTTACTGCTAGAGAGACGATACGAAGAAGAAGCAGTATAATCTCCATACTGAGATTCACCATACGCAAGTAACACAAAGATGCTCCACGAGAACAGAGAAGATACCGGATCAACAAAATGGTAATCAAACCGCCCATCTGGTTTCATAACTATCGGGTTATCTCAACCCATGACTGACCGCTACTCAGTTGCGATAAGGGACATCATTACCTTCATTCGACATCACGCGACAGCTCCCTCGCACTCGGTGGTTTTCTGGATGCATGGCCAGACGTGCGGTCGTTACTCGGCGTCTCTTCGCCAGCACTGTGTGCAACCCTAGACTTGATCAAGACAAGCGAGGAAAACTGTATCCACCATGAGTTACATTCTAGGACAGTTTCTAATCTCTGTATCATGGAGGATGTGTAAGTAGGTCCGTTTTGACGAGTGTTACGAGTAATCCAGGCTTGTGTACGACGATTCGCATATCGGACGTACGTTGTATATAGCCAACATGAAATACTGTAACTCGAAGAATAAACGATCCATCGTCTGATTCAACATCTCAACTTTTTCTGGAATTCTCTCAAGAATCCAGATTCTTTTTCTGGTATGCGCAGCCAATCCATCCACTTTGCGCCCTCTGTGGCGTTCTTTTGCCCTCAGAGCAAGGCCCCCACAGAGGCGTACCTCGAGCAGTTACAAAGGTACATTGTTGAAACGCCTCTTCTTCAACCTTTCGCAGAGGCCATCACATCATTAAGAGACACGTGGAACACACTCTGCAAGGGCCACGCGGATATTGCCAACCTCAAGTCAGGCGAACGACACGTCGTCAGTCTAGAGCGATGGATTACCAATGGGATAGCTGGACCAGTTTCCAGCTCCATGTCAGGGATTCTAGCGTTGCCATTGTTGGTCATTATCCAGATTTGCCAATACTTCCAGCTGTTGGAGTTGCACAAGCTCACGCATGAGCAAATGCTGTCAAGTCTGAGAAATGGCGGAGGTGCCCAGGGATATTGCGGAGGCCTCCCTACAGCTTTTGCCATCTCCTGCGCGAAAGACGAAGCAGATGTGGTTCATCTTGCTACGAAAGCTCTCCGGCTGGCTTTTGCTGTGGGCGCGTTTGGTGAGTTGGGCGACGACGAGTCGATTGAAGGAGCGACGACCATTGCGGTACGATTGAGAGCCTCTCAGCAAGGAGAGGAGCTCGTGGAGGGCATCCCTGGCGTAAGTCACTTTCGTTCTTTGTTCCCAGCAAGAATCTCTTATCGCCTTTCCGTTAGCTACATTTACACGATCGTGACTCGACTTAGTGATGGACACAAGCCGAGCGCATCCAGCTTTTGTCTTCTCCGTGCGATAGCCATGTACTGACACACTTTAGTGCTACATCTCCGCAATAACCGACCCAAGAACGATAAGTATCGTTGGCCCGGTGATAGAGCTTATGAAGGTGGCCGACAGAGCTCGTGACCAAGGCTTACTAGTCACCGACATACACATCCGCGGAAAGGTACACAACCCAGAAAACGCGCCTCTAGTTAAAGTGCTTTTTGATCTATGTCAAGAGCATGATGAGATGACGTTGCCTGATGCAAGTCAGCTGCGAGTTCCTGTGCGATCGAACTTGAATGGCAAGCTGCTGGATAACTGTTCGTTGACATATGAGGCAATCAATACGATTCTTGCGTCCCGATGCGAGTGGTATCGGCTCTTGAAAGAGGTGGCGCAAGACCTGGCGGGAAGCGGTACTGATTCCCATACATTCGCGCTGTTTGGGATTGGAGACCCGGTGCCTCTCATGCCATTCCACAATGCCCGTTTGCGGGTGGCGAAAGTGGAAGCTCATACCGCTATTCAGGAAGCCAGGTTGGCTGAATACAAATAGTAAGTTGCCGGGAAGGATGTTGGAGAGAGGCTTGTCTCGCTTAAGTTAGCGTCACGCTAACGCATGTCATCAGTCCGGAAGACGCCATCGCCGTCACAGGAGTCTCCTGCCGACTTCCACGAGCAAACGACCTCGAAGAACTATGGCAGCTTCTAGCCGCTGGCACATCGACTTGCGAAGAGATCCGCCATGACAGAGTTCCGATGTACGAGAGCTTTCGGGCGCTCCAGAATGAAAAATGGAAGCCGAAGTGGTTCGGCAACTTCATCGATGGGGCCGATGAGTTCGACTGGGCTTTCTTCCGTTCCAATGCCAAGGAGGCAGCCAGCATGGACCCTCAGCAGCGAATCTTATTGGAACTGACGTTCCAGGCTTTGGATTCGGCGGGTTATCTCCGCAGACATGTTCGTGAGAACGGAGACAGGGTCGGCTGCTTCATCGGAGCGAGTTTCATCGAGTACACGGATAACACTGGTGCTCATGCTCCGACTGCATATACAGCAACTGGTACGATTCGCGCATTCCTCTGCGGAAGACTCAGCTATCACTATGGCTGGACTGGGCCCGCGGAAGTTATCGATACCGCTTGCTCTTCTTCTCTTGTCGCTATCAACCGCGCGTGCCAATCGATCTGGTCAGGCGAGTGTCCTATGGCGGTCGCTGGCGGAGTCAACATCATCTCCGGTGTGCATAATTATCTGAACCTGGGAAAGGCTGGCTTTCTCAGTCCGACTGGTCAATGTAAGCCATTCGATCAATCGGCAGATGGGTACTGTCGTGGAGATGGTGCTGGGATGATCGTGCTGAAGCCCTTGAAACAGGCTTTGGCAGATGGCGACCAGGTGTTCGGTGTCATTCCGGGATCATCTACGAACCAAGGTGGGTTGTCTGCGTCTTTGACAGTCACTCAACCCTCAGCCCAAGTCAGCCTGTACCAGTCAATTCTCAAGCGTGCCGGCATGAGCCCAAACCATGTGTCATACGTCGAGGCTCATGGGACTGGTACGCAAGCCGGCGACCCTCTTGAGGTCAGCAGCATCAGGGACGTGTTTGGTGGATCAGATCGACCTACTAAGATGTATCTTGGTTCCATCAAAGCAAATACCGGTCACGCAGAATCGGCCGCTGGGGTTGCTGGAGTACTCAAGGTTATTGCTATGTTGCAGAAGAAGGCCATTCCACCCCACGCATTGTTCAACTCCCTGAACCCGAAGATTCCTTCGCTGAGCCAAGACAAGATTGCTATCGCAAAGACTTTGGAAGGATGGGAGGTGCCCTTCAAAGCAGCGTGGGTCAACAACTACGGAGCGGCAGGAAGCAATGCGTCGCTCGTTGTATGTGAAGGGCCTCGGAAGAGCAATGAAGAAGCGTGAGTTTACACATCAATTCTCGCAAGACTAAGACTAATACGTTGGAACAGACAAATACGCCTCCCTGCAGGTACTCGATACCCTATCATATTGTCGGCTCATACAATCGAGAGTCTCAAAGCCTACGCGGAGTCTTTTAGCTCGTATATCAGTCGAGAGAATCCTGACCTTGCTAGTCTTGCTTACACGCTATCTGAGCGACGCAAGCGTCATTCGGTGGCCTGGATCACAACAGCTTCCGAGATTGCAGGCTTGCAAATAGCAATCTCCGCCACGATTCGACCATGCAACATCACGCCCTCATCCAAACCTGTGGTACTTGCTTTCTCTGGTCAAAGCAAGCAGACCGTCGGTCTGTCGAAGACACTGTACAAGTCCATCCCTAGGCTACGCCACTACATCGAGGAGTGTGAGCGCATCCTTGTCACGTTCGGTTGTCCGTCGATTATCCCAGCTATCTTCCAGACTCCAATCATCACCGACCCAGTTCTGTTGCAGACAGGTACCATGGCTGTTCAATACGCAAGCGCTAAATGTTGGATGGATGCCGGCATTCGACCTGCCTGTTTAATTGGACACAGTTTTGGGGAGCTCACGGCATTGGCCGTGTCCGGTGTGCTCTCTATTGAGGATGCTCTTAAGCTTGTTGCTAAGAGAGCGCAGCTCATGGCAACTAAATGGGGACCGGAAAGAGGCACTATGCTTGCGATTTTTGCACCAATCGCTGTTGTTACGCGCATAGTTAAAGCTGTTGGCAGCAACAACCTAGAAATTGCTTGTTTCAATGCTGCCAACAGTCAGGTTGTAGTTGGCACCCAGGCTGCAGTGGCTGATACGGAGAACTTGCTGGCTACTGACCCTTCTTTCAAGGGTGTCAAGAGTCAAAGGGTTGACGTTACCCATGGGTTCCATTCTGCCTTCACCGAGCCGATCCGCAGCGACCTGGCTCAATCTTTGAAATCACTAACTTTCAAAGAAGCTTTTATTCCTATCGAGCCATGTACACAAGCACATATTAGCTCGATCACTGCTGAGCATGTTTTATCGCACGTCCGACAACCCGTCTACTTTGTAGACGCTGTTCAGCGGATAGAGAAGCGACTAGGGGGTTGCATCTGGCTCGAAGCAGGGTTTGATTCGTCTATCATTCCCATGGTCAAGCGTGCGAGTGCCAATTCAGAAATCCATTCGTTCTACAGCATCAAGACGGCTAGTGCTGTTCATCCTACCGAGGTTCTTTCTCAAAGCACTGCTGAACTGTGGAAAGAAGGGATCGACGTCACACCGTGGGCTTTCCTCTCTCCATCCGATGCTGGGGTAGAGCCAATCTGGTTGCCCCCTTACCAGTTCCAGAGATCTAAAGCATGGCTAGGTGAGTTGCAACTGTACAAAACTTTTGTGAAATGTCTACTGACTTGGTACCTTCACCGCTACAGAGAACATTGATAGAGCTACTGAACTCCAACAAAGTATAGCCACTCTCGTTTCGCAAAAGCCAGAGGCCGCTTCCATCCCTATCTCCACTCGATTGGTGTGTCATGCTGGGTCAAATCGCAGTACGGAAAAGTTCGCCATCAACAATTCGGCCAGTCGTTTCCGCGAAGTCATCAGCGGACATGCTGTTCGAGGGCGGCCGCTTTGTCCTGCTTCAATGTATATGGAGTGCGCAGCCATGTCAGCACAACTGCTTGGAGTCGAGCTCAACTCCAAGTCGCTGGCGTTCGAGGATCTGTCATTTGAATCGCCTTTGGGCGTCAACCTAGACCGCGATGTCAGCCTGAGCCTTGATGAAACTACTAGGCACAGCTGGAAGTTTACGCTTTCGAGTTCTCCCGGCTCTGCAAGTCATTCGACACGGGCAACTGTCCATGGCAGAGGTCAAATGCTTTTG